GAAGAAAGAATGAACTTGCAATTTTCCCTTCAGAATGGAGGACTTTGGCAGAGGACACTAGACCAAAGTGAACATTTATCACCTCCAGCATGTTCATGCATTTATTTGCAGCTGTATAACACACTCATTGACAACACTCTAGAAAGCCTTTTCTTGCCACCTCATTAGCCTTACATCTGTAATTCTGCGGAGTGTCTGGTTACCCCAAATCGTGTAACTATATAACTGTCATTTCTGCTATCTGATTAGTAAAACAAATCTGCCATAAACTCTATGAGTTTTCCAAGGTAAACAATGATTACAATATCTATATTCCCTAATATCTCACTTGTAATTCAATAAGTGCTAAGTTTTGTCTTAACCCTTCCTGCCCCCTTTTTTAATCTAAGAAAAGAGAAATGCTGCTGCCAGGGTCTTTGTTAAAGAAAAGCAGTTGCACAGGACGGATGTGAGAATACTCAAAGATGAAATACAGACTCTTAAACAGATGGCAAGAAATAACTTCACACAGAAATGAGAACTTTTCCCCTTATGGAACTGTTTGCAAACTCAATACAACCTATAATTCACTGATGATAAGCCTGGAAATTTGTATTTTCATAATGGTTCTATGGTTAAAAGTATTACTAAATAAAATTTTTCAGATATCATTGGTTTTGACTTCCACTTTTGCGAACAAGCCCAAGCACACACAGAGGACATCATCAGTGACATTTTAAATAACATCATCTCTCTCTTTCCTCCATAAAAACATATTAAAATGAACTGCAAAGTTTAAAATGACAAAATAGTAGCATATTAAAAGCATGTTGGGTGACCAATAGTCTATAATAAAGGGTTTCCCTTTCCTCTTTTAATTCTATGATCAGTTTCAGCAGTCTGATTCTAGAAGTCAGGGGTCTGAACTGGCTCTTCCAGGGTTAAAACTCAGGGGGACAGAAGGTGGGGGCAGAGCTGGCCTTCTGCACACTCCAAGGGTAAATCCACTTTTGCTCATGCCAGCACTGCCTGGCTTGTGACTGCTCCTGCCGCATGGACACTGTGCCTTCGCCACACTGTTGTCTAAAGTTGTGCTGGCTTTGGCAGCACATAAACTAACATTATTGTCTAATATCTCTCTTATAAGACCTCTCCTTGCATGTAGGGATGGCCCGGATCATCCTGTGAATCTTCCCATCTCAAAATCCTCCGTTTAATCACAATGCAAAGCCCCTGTTACCACACCTGATACCATTCATGGGTTCCAAGGGTTAAGTCCTGGACATCTTTAGGAATCTTAATCATCTCACCGCAGGAGCCTTTTCTAAACACTCCGACCCCTGGAGATGCCTCACTCAGCCCACCTTCTTCTCCGGGAGAAGCCCAACAGCCACCCCTTGAGAGCCTTCCCACTGCTGAGGCAGAAAAATAAATAACTAAACTAACAAATGAACAAAATCAAATTGAGAACCTGAGTATTTCTGTCCAAGAGGATCCTCTTTGAGTAATGGATTAGACACCTGGAAGCATCCACCTCTGTATAACGAACGATTTCACTTTTCAGAAAATGTGATTCAGATTTCACAAAACAGGAAGTGGCTGAATGAAGAGGATGTGGCAGACAGGGGAGTCTCTGTTCAGATGCTTCCCCAGGCTTCAGCTCCTGATCAGAGCTTCGGATACCCAGAAAGATGGAGCACTGACACGCTCCAAATGGGCCTCAGAACATTTTCAGATATTTAGTCATGTTTCAAAGATCAGACTTAAATATTTGTTGCTAGTTCCTTAGATATATTTAAATAAACAACAAATTTGGAGCCAGGTGTGGTGGCACGTGTCTAATCTCAGCACTTGGGAGGCTGAGGCAGGAAGATTGTTATGATTTCAAGGCTAGCCAGGACTCCATAGTGAATTCAAGACCAGCCCAGATTACATAGCAAGTCCCTGTCTCAGCATTGCACAAATATATTTTCTGGAACAAACAGACTAAAATAAACACCCTGCAATTGTACTCCAACATCCTTTGAAATACTCAAGATCCTTTTTTACAAGATTATGATCTCATTTCCTCTTTCTTTGCACATCCCCTCTTCATTTTTCTCTAGCGCACTTCCCTTCTGGTTTAAGACTTCAACTAGCTACATTTTGCTCGAGATATTTCATGCTGGCTGTATGTAAGGTGGGATGGCTGTCACTAATTTTCCACTGCATTCATGGAGAGATCTCAGTGGAACACAAGTCTTACTCAATCTCCAGTGAGGGAAGCTTCTGCAGTACTGTACCAGAAGCAAACGTCCTTTCAGGTGGTTATACTGATAGAGTGGCCCCTCATCACCCCAGGACACAGTCAGACTTCCTGCAGGATGTAGGAGGCCCCTACCACACAGAGTTCTTGTGAAAACCTAAACTCTTTTCCACTTTCCTCCTAACATTGCCCAAAGCACACCAGAGGAACCCCGTTTTACACATCCTTCTCTTGAAATATCCTTCCTCAACTACTCATGTCTGTCACCATCCATACCCTGTTGGAGGCCAGAAACTAGTCACGCTTTTGTAAAACATGTCCTTTATGTTCTTCCAATTCTTCAGACAAGGTGCTTTTGCACACTCATGACCCTGTGTTTACACTTTTCACACTTCTGTGCTTCCACATTAAAGAGTGAATTCTATTTGTATCCCAAATTCCTAGAATAGTACCTGAAATCTACTGTGTGATATTGCAGAATTTTGCCTCTGCCTTTTCCTGCCTTATTTGGTGCTGGGGATTGAACAGAGAGGGCTTTCACACTGGCTACATCCCCAGTACTTCTTTTTTTTACTTTGAGGCAGGATATTGCTAAGATACTAAGTTGTTTAGGCTGAACTCAAACTTGCGATCATCCTGCCTCAGTCTCCCAGAGTGCTGAGATTACAGTGTGCAGCATCACACCCAGTTCTCCTTCCTTTTAACCTACTTTAGGAAACATTTGCTAGGATTCATTTGTGTTTGGTGTGACTATAAGTTCATGCTTAGGACTAGCTGCTTTTCAATCTCCATTTCTAAGAATGAAATGAAGGTAGTTCTCTCTATTAAATAAAGCTCCATAATTAACAACCATTCATGTTTCTGAGGATAGAAAGTCTTTTAACATCCTATCATACAATTAAAGGGACATCTCTGTGCCTTGCACAAAGACAGCACCATGATTTATACTCTGCAAAACCTCAGAGTTAGACAGATCTTGTCTTACCACCTAATGATTGCGTTCCCTCTATAGTATCTGAAATGATAGTAAAAAATCTATATTTATGCACATTGAAAACTTCACAAAGAAACCTATTTAAGCTTTTACATGTGTCTTGAAAAAAAAATAGTCCACATTTTGATACTTTTGACTCTTCAAGTCAATAGTAAATGGAACTAGAAAGTAATGAAGGAGGAAATCCAGCACTATGAAGTTTAAATTAAAAAACCAAGGAGCACAAATCACATTAGGCCACCTTTTTGCTTTTTAATTTGAGATTCAAGAATGCTAAGCACCCTAAAATAGCCATATCTAGGATAATCAAAATTACAACAGGAAACTGTTTGAGCATAAATTGCTATGGCAGGAAACTGATTAGTTCAGCAAAGAGACAGGATGCTTCTTGTCTCTACTGTTGTCTGAGTTCATCCAATGGCCCTCCATGGGCCAACTGCTCTGAGATAAAAGATTATAAAGTTGCCTCATGGAAACAGAGTGAAGGACAATTAATGATGAAGGAGTAAAACAAAGCACAGCCCGAAACAGCTGAAAAGCTGAAGTTAGTAGGCAAAGGTGAAGGGGAGAGAGACAGACTAGTAATATGCAAAATGCTATGATCTATAGAATATAAAGTTCTATAAAGTGTGCTTATAATAAAAGGAACTCCCAAAATAAGAGAGTATGCATGCTTGCAAAGAAGTTTTCCTTGAACTAATCTTTTTCATGGAACTTGAACAGTCTACTTTGAATTTCTTGAAATGTGCTCAAATGAATTACTTAACAAACTCTCTATGGTAAGAAGAACAATGCCTCCTCATTCACTGCTCTTGTGAAAAAATTAACTTATATGGCAAAAGGGATTTTGCAGATGTGATTAAGATTAAGGACCTTAAGATGGGAGAGGGTCCTGGACTACACAAGTGGGTCTGATTAATCTCAATGGTTTCTTAAAATTGGAAGAGCTTTCCCACCTACATTCAGACTCCGAGGTGTAATTATGGAAGAGGGATCAAGAAGATACAATGTGTCATCCAAAATGAAAAAAAGAGGCCATGCAGCAAAGGATGCTCATGGCCTCTTGAAATTGGCAAAGATAAGGGAACAAACTCTCCCCCAGTTTCAGAAAGGAATGCACCCTTGCTGACACTTTTTAAGCCCAGTTAAGTCCAGATCTTTTATATAATAAATTGATGTTGCTTAAGTCACCAAGCATGTAGCAATTTACCACAGCAGAAGCACAGAGGTAATACAAACTGATCTCCTTTCATAGGCTTCACATGTGAAAACCAAAATTGAAACCATCTGTTATTACTCCAAAAGTGACTACTTAGAAACCCTCACATCTGCACTTATTTCTAAAATGTTTTTCAGAGGCAAACAAAGATCCTGAAATAATGAATCCTTCAAAATGGAAACAAAAGAGTCAATAAGCACTTTTTTAAATTGAGAGATTGCCAACTGCTCTCAATGAATCCAACATAAAAAAGTTATTAATTTTCTTGAGTTTTTCTTGAGCTCGAGTGGAATACCATTTACCTTAACTCTTTCCCTTTCATTTCTCAACACCTCATCCCAAGAACCTGACTGTGAAGAGCTTTTGAGGTGAAATTTCATAATAGCCACTGACATGCATGTTTTCTAGAATTGATTAGAATAGTGAAATGAGTAAAATTCAGTTTGCTACTTGGAAATTTGAAGGAGTTGAGTAATGTGGCACTATATGTCAGGCTTTACTTTACATCATACTGATTAAAAAGTAAATAAATAAAAGTAGAGTTGCAAATCCTTCTTACTCACCACTTTGCAGCAAAGGGGCCAAAACCACCACATCAAACCAATGCCCACAAGTAGCAATAAGACCAAAATAGCAATGAGGGCTGCAATTCCGTTGGACTACAGGAGGCAAAGACAAAAACAAAGCAGTCAGCAATCTTAAGTCACATCCCACACACACACTTTTAAGAAAACATTAGAAAATAATACTGAGTATAATGGTGTCAGATCATTCAGCTATATTCTTTTCAATTCTATAAATTCCTTTAGCTTTCATTTAATAATGTCAGGTTATGTTGAGATAGACAGTAATAAATATAAAATCTTTGAGAGTGGTGCATACTTTTTCAATACTTCTTAAAAAAAATGTAGAGAGGAAAAAAATGACTATTTAGGGTTAAAGAAATGCTCCCTATCTTTTGGATGTAGGTAGGAATCACCTGGGCTCAAGCATGATTACCGCTGTATAGAATTTTTCCCCACTATGCTGATGGAACACCATTCGTTTTTATTCTTAAATAATCAGGTAAGATGACTACAAAAAAAAAAAAAAGTAGATGACAAATCATCTGCAATGGCTCTTGCTGGCGATGTACATCCATGTCAATGAAATATGCAGTCTGGTGAATTCAAGGAACAGAGGATCTCTGACTGCAGCTCAGGAACTACCCACAGGAGAATTACACAGGTATCCTTCACTTCCTGACTGCCCAGCCCATCCAGCCAGAACGCACTTGCTTTGGACCCTGACGTCTGACCCCTTCATCTCAACAGCTTCTATTGTCCCACCAGGCAGAAGTTATGCCACCTCCTCGGGGAAGACTGCTTCAGACTCTTTGGCAGAAACTGTCCCTCCAGATTGTACAACTCATACTTCTCTATATTCTAATCTTTAGCACTTTTAAAAATGCAATGACACTAATCATGATTCATTTTCAAAGCTAGAAAATCAGAGGCTAAGACCAATTAGTTTACTACTGTATATCAATGTCTGGCCTTAATATTATTTACTGAATGAATGCCAAAAAAGTAAGAATCCAAATGACACGACACCAAAAAGACTGTAAATATTGTTACTTTATGAATAGGGCCTTTAGCGTTTCCATGGAACAGTGTCTCCTAAACCTCTACTCTCTGGGATTCCCAGAAATAATGTGTGCCTTGGTTTGCCTCTGGGTTTTTTGGTTTGTTTGTTTGTTTAAGGGAAAGAATTCAAGAAAGAAAAAGAAATCAAGAAGAGTACATGCCTTGCAAGTGCAAGGTCCCGAGTTGGATAACCAGTACCAAAAGGAAAAAAAAAAAAAAAAAAAAAAAAAAAAAAAAGGCTGAAACAAGAAGATTTCAGGAAAATATGTATAGTAAGTGCTTTGTTTTTAAAGTCAAAGAAAACATTCAGAGCACATATCAAGCAACTTATAAAAATACCCAAAGTACATTTTTTCCCACAGAATTCTAAAAATCCATGAACAAATCAAGTTATTTTCCACATCTCTACTTATATTAAGGTATAAAATCTAGGCAAACAAACATAACAGAAGAATGTAAAACAAATACATTAATCTCATCTTCAAATACAAGATCTTATGGTAATACTCCCTTTATCTGTAAGTGTCCATGTACAGAACAAATGAAACACTCACATCAGACCCTTGCACGTGAGGATCTAATCCCAGAATTCACTGTGGCTACGTCACTCTACTGTAAGAGTTCTATGAATACCTGGCTCCCCTTTTCTCAGAATTCACACCCTATGTTCAGAAATAAGAACCTACAACTAGAAGCCACAAGCCTGCTAAAAGTTAGTGACTGGCTTGCAAAAACATGTGCCAAGAACAGGAAATTCAGAAAATATGCAAACAGAAAATAAAGTAGATTAGTCAACCCTGATACGTACTGAAAATTCTTGATCTTCCCTTGAAGAAAATGCCTCCATCAGTGAGAATGACAAAACACTGCTCTTCCAGATGCAAATATACACTAATTATAACAGTATTATCAGCCATACTCTTTCTAACAACTTGTTTAAAAAAATTAAAACTAAATTAGCCACAATTTCGAAAACCCACATACCTAACCTTAACGTATTTAAACCAAAATGATGGAAAAAAGATAAGAGGAAGCACTTAATTTATCACTATCTGAACATGTCACCTATTCTGAGACACAGTCCCTGTCTGCACCCACCCCAGACATTAGCTTAGGTAACTGCGTGCAGATTCAGCCTTTCCCATTTCCTTTATTTTGATTTCCAGTGCCTGATATCACAGCATAGAGCATATCAGTCATGAAAGAGAAATAACTTCATTGTTCCTGTAGCTTTATAAACAAATTAAGGGAAGGTCAAACACATAGACTTCAGCAAGCTTGCGAACAGCCATCATGGTGCAAACCCAAAACTCAATAACAAGATGAACAAAAGTATGATACTGGATAAACCCACACCTACATTTACGTCATGGGCAGAAACTAGAAGTTTCTTTTATTGAAATGCATCTCTCTTTAAAGAGAACTCAAGCCAAAAATAATCAATAAATATTCAACATGTGAATGTCATTTTTCTCGGACTAAATGGAACAAATATATATGATTAGAAGCTAAAATACATATTTTTTCATTAATCCAAGAAATATTCAATGAGCCTCCACTACATACTTGGCCATTAAATATGTGCCAAGGTTACAATATTGGACGAGTCTTCCCCAAGCCCTCTGGTCAGAGAGAGAAACGTTGAACAAATAATTATAAGTGTGAGGTGTGTGGAAGGAATATCCACCAGAAACATGGAAAAGTGAGAACTAACCTAGTGTAGGGTTTTGAGAGGAAATGCTTGAAGGATCATAAAAGGGCTGAGAAAGAGTACATTCAGAATGTGTGGTTGATCAGAGGAACAGAAAGGCCAGTGTGGCTGGGGCACAGAGCTGGAGGAAATTCTGGGTCTTCTGAAGAGGCTGAAGCAAAGAAAGGAGGCACAGATCTCTGAAAAACTGTAGTTCACAACACAGAAATGGACATTTGTTAAATTAATGGCCATTTGTTAGATGACCTTCCAGTTGACCATTTGTTACATTAATTCTGCCTAAAAACAGCTCTGAACAACTAGCATTTTCAGATGTCTACAAAGACTTGGGTATGAAAGTTAGATGAAGAATCTAATCTAAAACTCAGAATCCAGATGTTACAGAAGGCCAAAAGGACAAATTTCTTCTATGGATTATTTAGAGATATAGCACAGCTTCGAACTTGATGATAGGGAAGAAAGAATTTTCTAGTAATTCCAAACACATGAAGTTGTCGAACTGCATCTGCATCTAATTTCCTTTCCTTCATTAAAAATAAATTATGATAAATAATCAGAAATTTTACTCTGTCAAATATAACTGAAATTCTTCCTAGGAGAATCATAGAAGTATACAAACAAGTAAGAGTTACTACTATATTTTGCACAATAACTACTAGAAGAATCACTCAAAAGTTTCACAACACATGAGTAACATGTAATCTAGCTAGAAAATAACCACAGTAACTACATCAGAATAAAACAAACACAAAAAGGGGGGAACTTGGTCTCTTCAAGTTTGTTACTAAGATCTTACAGTTAGGGAAAGAAAAAGTCATAGAAAACCTGATGATTGCATTTACTGGAATTTTAACAAGTATTTTATGTCAAGAGTTAGTAAACTATGGTCCAAAGGCTAAATCAAGCTCAGCTGTTTTTTTTTTTTTTTTTGACTCAGCTATTTTTATTTCCTCCACAGGCTCAAAATTGTTTCTTAATTTATTACACAGTTTAAAACCTTCAAAAGAATAATTTGTTCCATGAAATTCAAATTGCAGTGCATGTGGCTTCATTGTACAGAGCCTCAGCTCTTTGTTTACACAACGTCTGTGGCTGCTTTTGTCCTAGAAGGGCAGGCTTGACTACCTGTGATAGAAAACACACAGTCCTACTAGCCTGAAGCATTTACTATCTGGCCTTTAAAAGAAAAGTATGCTGACCTCTGTCCTAGATAAACTGCTTTAGGATCTGGTTGAAAATGGCAGAGTGAAAGTGTTTGTTCTAGGCCGGAAAGAAACAGAGAGAACTCATTCCCAGTTCTAGCACTTAATACTGTGAAGCCAGGCAAGCAACTGAAGCTTACAAAGCTGCCAGCCTCCAAGGATCTGAAATCCACAGATTTCCCATTTATCAACACTTCCTTCCACCTTTGAGGGTGTGGGCCACACCCAAGAAGCAGCACCTTCTAATGTTTGCACTGATGCACACTGAAGACTTGGAGCTGCCTCTCTCTGCTCTGCACTCCTCACCGTTCTCAGCTGTAAAACTCACACGTCACTAACAGCCACCTCTCAAGTTGGGAGGAGTTTAAAAAGCCACAAAGTGCTCCACACTTGTCTAATAGTGTTTAGCACAGTGTCTGGCACGTGTGGCACTGCTCCAAGGACACAGTGATGCTACTGTGATTCCAAAGGCATCAGAAAACCAGTGGTGGCAAGATGGGGTGCAGGGGTGGGAGAGTGGGGAACAAACTTTCACTTTATTATTAAAAGCAGAGATACATTCAAGAGATCTTAGAAGAGATGAAGAGAAAGGACTGCTTAAATTCAAACCCTTCTCCAATTCTAATCTCTTAAGTCTAGTATAGTTTCCCTACTTCTAAACTAGATACACAGCAACTCTCATTCATTCACTTAGACAATAATCTTGCCTTGAGTGCTGTGAGTGAGGGCCAGGAATGAGGAACGGGGACTGGGTACAGACCTGCCAGGAAAGTCTCAAGGTAGATGTGCAAGGCCTGGGAGCAAACAAGGAATTGCAGCTCATTCCTCTGTATGCCTTAGCAGGACTGCTCCCTGGATGCTCTGGGAGCATATAAAGGGGCTTCACCTAGAGGATTTTCACAAGAACGAATCAATTGTCAGAGGAATGGTGTTTTCTTTGGTTTTTAAATGCCTGTGGAAGCCATCATGATGGGCAACATCACTACAAGCTTTTCGCCTAATCACCATATCTGAACATGCCTCAAAGACAAAATATCACTTAATCCAATGTCCAATACTTAGCATACTATTACAAATTATCTTTCTCTCTCTTGAGTACAGTTTCAATGTACAAATCACGCAGTGCATTTCATCAGCTCATGTCAGGCAATGTTATCACATCCTGGAAATGTGTGATGATGAGTTCAAAATATGGTTAGATCTAATGAGAAAAATAATTTTCCTATAATTACTCTCAATATGATATAATGAATTCTGATAGTATGATACCCTGGAATAATTAATGTAATAATAAAAGTCATCTGGAAGAGAAGGCTTCAAACCACCAGCCTGGGCTGGGACAAGGAGGTCCCAGGTGATCTCTTGGGCCCCTTATCAATCCTTGTCCTGGGTAACCACTCCCAGGCACTTCCACCAGGCCCTCTCTTCGTGTCAGAATGGCATCTTCCTTTCCCTTCGCTGTTTCATAATGTGTTCTACTTTTCCCATGTCTTGAGCTGTTCTTTACTCTCTCACCTCTTCACTGATTCTACTGACGATAGAACCTAACCCTTCTACTTCACCGAATTAAACTTAAAAGTTTCATCAAATTAGCTTTCTTGAGAGTGCAGCTACTTCCGGTCTCTGGTCCCCGATCTCCCTTTTTCCTAAAGACTGTACTTTAGAAAACTTGTAACTTCAAAATCTCTCTCTGCCCTTTGAAATCATTCCTTGCCCTTCTAATCTTCTTGCCCATTTTACAAACCCTGGAGGAATCTTTCAAAACTGCTGGGAGCCCTTCCTCTGAAAGCAACCATCAAGGAAGATAAGGGCTCCTACCTCAGTCTCTGCAGAACAGCAGAAGCCAACACCAATGAGCAACTTGCTCTTAGTTGTAGCACTGCATCCTGACAGAAGGTGGGAGAAAGCTTTTAACTAGCAGACACAGGTGGCCCCCAATCTTCTTAATCCAAGCTTTTCTGACTTCTTCAGCCTTTGACTTTAGCAGATTTCCATTAAATCTCTCTTCCCTCTTTCAATAGCTTTGAGTAAGTTCTTATTTGCCTGTTTCGTTTTTTCCAGGGCGATTTGTCTTTCACCCTGCATATTCCTTCTACTTCAAAATTCCTTTAACCCTAAATTCTCCCATCTTCCTTCCCTTTCTTCCTACTTTAATAAATGTAAAACTTAAATGTTGATGTCCAGCCCCAATTCCTCAATGAAGCTCAGCGCTATGTCTACAATTACCCATTTGATATCACTCAGTATATTTTCAAAGAAAATTTTCTTCTTGTCCAGATTCAGCTGTCTTTCTATGGTTCCAATAGTAAGCAGTATCATTCCTTCAGACTTTGGAATAAGCCATTACCTTCCAAACCGGGAAGTTATTTTATAAAATGCATTTCTTTTTTAATAGAGTTTTCACCAATTTTAGTCCTTTTTCTACTACCACACGTCAATTTAGAGCCCAAAGCTTTATGCCTTAATTCTAGCCTTTGTCGCTTAAAAGCTTTCTGTGTCCTGCTGTCTTTCCTTCCTAATTCTCTTTCAAAGCATTACTAATCTAATCTACCACAAATAACATGGTGCACCTTTACATTCATGCCTGAAGACTTTTTTAAAAAACACTATTATCTGCTACAGGCATAATCTGTGATTTCTCAGGCTAGTAAAACCTAAAATAATTTCTTACATGAGGCTTCTCATACTGACTTGCTAGATAATTGTTCTGCCAAATAACAAATACACAAGGAGAATGAAGAGGAGGAGACAGGAAAATGGGAAAAGAAAGAAAAAGATGGGAATGAGGGAAGGAGAGAGAAGAAGGGAGAGAAGAAAAAAAGGGAAACAGGAAGGCTGAGCCTGATTACTATAATCATACTACCTCAAAGGATATTTTAAAAATAAAGTGGCACGAAGAACCATTTTAGAATGAGTCTCCTTTCAACTTGAAAGAATATGAACACTTTCCTTTCCTTCCTTCATTTCAGCGTTGATATATCTGTGCCGTTGAGTGAGTACCACACGTCTATCAGGTAAACTCTAAACTGTCTGGTGTTTTACGTTATCGACAATCTGGTTTAAATTTTCTATCTCCAAGTTTTCCTTCCACTTATTTTCATTCTGACCAAATATATCTGCTCTTTTTAAACACATCTCTTCCCTGTTTTTTCTCTCTCTGGAATGTTCTTTCCCAGCCTCTTTCTTTACCTACATCATGATCTCTCTCCAAGGCCCAGTTTGTCTTGCGTTCTCCATAAATATAAAACTTTTTTCTAGTAGTCTTTCCCTTATAACAACTCACACAACCCCAACTCGCTCTGCACCACTCTCCTCATGCTCTTCTCTGTGTCCAGAGACTTTTACTTTCCCCCCATTAACCTCTGCTCCAGCCCCTGGCTGTCCTGCTTTTCTATACTCATCGAGTACTATGTCACAGGTAGGCTGTACTCCAGCTGCTCCGTGACCCTGGAACAGTCCTCCACCAGATGGTCTCCAGGCTCACTCCTTCACCTTCTTCCAGTCCTGGCTCAAATCTCATCTTCTCAATGAGAATCACTTCGACCCCTTATTTAATATTACAACTTCACTCCCTCCCCATCTCTGACACAACCATTGTTCTTTTTTCTGAAATCACATTACTCTTAAACCACCTAGAGCCAGATTGTACTCTCTCAACACCTAGCAGGACCTTCCTTGATCAGACTTATTAATGCCTGTTGAAAACAGAGATGAAAAGACAGCTGGAGACGTAGAATAGGGAAGATGGAAAGCAAACACCCTTTCAGGGGAGCTAAAGACCACAAAACTATCTCAAACGGCTTCAGTCATCCACACCCTGAAAGATCAGAAAAACTACCATTTGCAACATTCACAAAACTCACAAATTGCAAAACATATTACAGATGAAAAAAAAATAGTTGTTTTCAAAATAGGAGGTGCTGATAAAGTTATCCAAGGAGTTCAAAAGTGACCCAAGTTCCCATCTAAACACTCCTGCTGCACCTTACAATGAGAAGGATAACCACCTCTAAACTAAATGCTATTCTGTGTCTGTGAAGAAGTGTATCCTCTGAATTAAAACAATATGAAACCACAAAATTATGAAATATGAGAAAAGTTTAAGTTTGGGATTCTGATCTTTGGAGAACAGGAATTGCTCACTCTCTCTATATATATACATACACACACACACACACACACACACACACATATATAATATGTATATTCTTCCCTCCCTTCTCCCTTTGATTTATATTTCTTTTACAAAGAAAATATACTCTTAAAAGTAACAGCCATGTGGTCATGTTAGTGCTTTCTATTTGTATTTTCCATGAAATAACATCAAAACTTTATAAAAATTCACAGAATTACCTACATGGAAAAAAAGTCTCATGAATAAAGTTTACATTTCAACATACTGCATTTGAATCAGTGTAATCATCAATCACAACTAAAATACAGTTTCAAACTAAGATATTACTTATCAAAATCAAACTTCGTACATATGAGACGGCCCTAATTTTTAAGATGCACAAAATAAAGAAGTACCCATTAAGATATGCTAATGATTTCAAAATATGATAAATATTATTATAGGCAGCTAAGTTAGATAGAAATTGGTATACAATCAGAAGGATTGAGCTGTCAGGAAGTCCACAGAAAAAATAGACAGAATTGTCTCTGGAGGTGCATCTGAAGACTGTCTCAAGATAAAGACACAAGGACCAGGCCTACATACCTTCCCTAAGGAATAGGGAATACTCCCCTGAGCACCAATGTGGAATTATACTTTAACTGGTATCACCTGGTCTAGTAAAATCTAGATAGACACTGTTCACTCATGTGAGCGACCAGAACATCCGGACCCATCCCTTCCCAAATGCCCTAGTTCTTTCCATGTGCCCTTGCTAGATGAACTGCTTCCCTGTTGGACCAGTATTAGCTAAGCAGCTACACTTGTAATCCTACAGGTTGCTTGTAATTTGACCCATGTTGTACCCACGTTTTGACTTTGGTGTATAAATTACTCCTGACAAATGGCCTCTGTGACAACCCTCTTCCGCGACTACTCCTCTCAAGAGCTATCCTGTTCCTCAAAAGCCTTTTCCTACTCTTAACTTCCTTTGTCCTTTGGGTTCATTCTCAATTTCAGGGAACATGAACTCAGCATATCTGTCATCTAGCAGGCTGGGAGTTATATTTTCCCCTACATCAATATTGTAGACATTAAATTTGAATCTGCATAACAGAAAAATGTTATCATTTTCATATCTCATGTTTTAATAAATATTTCCTCTTTCATTTTCTTATCTGATGTTAAATAATGACTTCTGAATTTTATAAATATCACAACCAAATTATAATATATTAAAGTTCCTTTAAAGGGAGCTAAGTAAAAAGACAAAACAAATTAACAAATAAAAAACCAGAAACAACTTTCCTTATAATGGAGTCCAATGTTATTGTTCATACTTTCTTTATTATAGTTGCATATTTTAATGAGCAAGTTGCATAGATTATTTGTGGATCAAATAAATTATTTTTAAAAGGTAACTAACATTTTACTTACACATTCTGTAGCTGTAATTATTAATGAACTTGAGATGACAGATTTTCCTCCATTAAAACTCACTGAAACATCGAGAGTTCTAAAAGAAAGATAAACAAAAAATTAAAAAGAAAATACAAAGTGGATAGTTTTATTTCCTTATATAATTCAAAAAAGGGGCAGAAAAAAACAACTGAAGTATAAAGGTCACACCTTCTGATCATTTACTTCAACTTTTTTGTCTTAATTGTAGTTCTTACTCCTTAGCCTGAGGCAAATTCTTTAAATTTTCAAATTACTTTAAAAAGCATTAGCATAAATAAAGACATTAAGATATCCCTTAATCCAGAGAAGTGCTGAGATTTTTAGGTACACAAAAATTTAAAAAGGGGAAAATCCTTAGGGAAAATTTTCCCTGAGTTTAGAATTACTACTAATACATGATAATTGTTTAAGAGTATAAAACTGGAAATAATATACCACTTAAAGGTAAAATGTAAAGCAAAAATGAAAGGGAGAAAGTGAAGAAAAAAGAGAGAAAGATATGTGTTTACAGGCAATTATTATAGATAGTTCCAGGACATTAAAATATCTTGACAAAGGGCTGGGGATTTAGCTCATTTGTGCTGTGCCTGCCTTGCAAGTGCAAGGTTGTGAGTTCAATCCTGGTACCAAACAAAAAAACTTTTTTTAAATAAAATATCTTGACAAAAGAAAAGAAAAAGAATATCCCTGGCTTAAGAAAAAAATCATAATTAGAATAAAGTTTTCCTTCTGAAAGTAACTGAAATTTTAAAACTCATATCCTGGTAACTCATTATTTGAGATTCACTAGTAGTCTGAAACAAATGTCTTTTTTATTAACAACTGTAACAAGGGCTAAAGAAAAAAAATGATAAGGAGATAGTACAGTATGTAAGAAAATAGCTCAAGTTCAAAGTAGTTTACAAAGTTTATTTTCATAAAACCATGATGTAAACAAATCAATTATTTATTTATGAAAGCATAGTAGTAGTTGACAGCTATTTACTTAGTTTCTACATTTCTATGCTTTTTAACATTTCAAACTCCAATTCTCATAAAATATTCTAAATTCCAATAATTAATAGCCAAAATCTTTGACTTTATTATTTTGAATTAATAGGATTTTGTAGCAATGATGAATTTTACTGTAATAATATTTGTACTAGAAATATAGGTCCGGGGAAATATAGCTCAGTGGTTCCACAGCCTGCCTCACAAGCTTAAGGTCCTGAGTTCAATCCCCGGTACCAAAAAAAACAAAACAAACAATAACAACAAAAAACCCAAAAGAAATATAGAAGATGCTTTCGGTGCCAGATACTACAGTACTTGTTGTGGACAGAATACAACAAAAGCAATCTCAAGTTGCTGGTGGAATATTCAATAACACCAGAGAGAAGAGATTAGAAATATTTAGTCCTTGCTGGGTGCCAGATGCCACCTAGGCATTTTATGGCTAATATCTCATTTAATGCTCATTACAGCCTTTGAAGGGAGTAGTAACTTCACAGTTTTACAAAAAGAGTACAGGACACCTGAAGATGCCAATGACCTCAGCTAACAGTAGTGATGGTGGGATTCTAACTAACTTTGAATTCTTTCTGTCATACTACTGATAAAATAATGAAACTAAATGCCCTTAATGTGTCTTTTCTCTCCAAGTGATATTTAGTTTGGAGTCATAAAGAAGTAGGACCACCAGGAAAAAAAAAAATCAAAATTCAAAATTCAGAAATACCCTTATTAAAAAGTCTTAAAATAGTCACTTCAAACACCTTTTATTTTTTAAAAAAATTTTGGCTAAAGCCAAAAAGGAAAGTGAATTTTGAGCGCTCACATCCCGTTAACTGAATTTTGCACTCTTCCAACACAGAACGCCGAGTGGCCTACTTAAGAAAAGACAAGTTAAACCAAATGTCTCACTCTGCAGACCTGAATTGCCTTGTTTCATTTTGTTTTATTGACTAAGCACAACTGAATCCAAAACCAATCTTGACTAGTTCTGATTTCCCTTACTTTAAACCATGTAGCAGAACCACAAGGCATGCTTTTATTTGTGCGGGAGATTATTTTGATCTGTAATAGTCTATGTTCGTTGCAAGTCATCTTACTGATTCTACTTCAAAGGATCAGTTGATACTAACTGAAACTGTTCACAATGTGGCATTTAGGATCCACAGAAACGAACCCAGTTCTGTAAGTGACAAGGGAAATTTCACAACTTCTAATGTTTTACAAAATGGAATGAGAACACAAGACTTAGTTTCTAAACAAATCCAGCCCTTCCTATATTAGAACTGCACACAGACGAGACTGTAGCTAACCAAAATAACCATGCTATCTATCCCCAGATTATCAGTCTACTAGATCGTGGCTGCTGTCAAATAAATCTGGGTTAACTCTCCACATGTATGGAAATCTGTATGATTCCGCTCACACATGGACTTCATTAAAACTATTTATTCTTCACCTTCCCAGCACTCAGAGTAGCATGATCAAACACTGCCACCAACACCACCACTGAGAATTACAAGCCTTTATTTCACACAGACTCATTCGTTCACCTTCTCATTTAGCACACACAGTAGCCCAATGAGGTGGATGAACATGATTTCCATTGTCTAAACCAAATATTTTAAACCAAAGTTTGAAAAAAGAAAATCTGCCGAAATACTGGACCTTTGACTCTAGTCAAAGTGCCTTCACTTATGTACTTTGTCCCCCATGTGTATTTTAGGGTCTTGTATTTAAATTCTTCTCACTGATATAATCTTAGTATCACTCTTCCAGTTTTTTCCTATATTCACACATTTCTCGTGGTTAAGTAGAATAGCATTTATTACATGCTAAACCAAGATATTTGTTCATAAATGTATATGTTCATGAATATGTGGATATATGTAACATTTTTCTGGGCAACTTTTTCAGGAGTGTCAAAAGCACGAAAATACAATTAGTTCTGTTGTTTCTTTAGAAAAGCACTTTTGAAGTTATTGACACTCCCATGAGCCTGGATCCTTTGTCCAAGGATACATCACTCCTTTTCCAGCCCACAGATTAGTAAGGCTGCCTCAAGCTCTAACCTGAACCCAATACTTTGACCCTTCTTTGTCCCAAGACTGCAATATACAAATTGTTTCCTGTCATATTTTAGGTCATATCTGTTAGTAGATAGCTTACTTGTTCCTATCCCTGCATAACTTCTACTTCTGTCTGGTAAACTTCTGAGGATGAAATCCACACTCTTGGTTACAGGGACTTTATTGTAGGAGAAAAATGTTTTAAAGAAATATTGTATTTACTTAATTCCAGATATAAATGGGAGGCAAGAGGAGAATTTCTCTTTATTTGTCCCAAGTATCAAATAAAATTTTAAAATGGGACAGACTTGGCCCACATGTTAGGGAATCTGGAGTACTACATTTGATCCTCTATCACTCCACTCTTAGCCTTCCATTCTTCAACAGTAAAATGGAAAGAAGTGTGCCTGTCTCAAAGTTTTTCTGAGATAGAGAATATACCTAAAATATCAAACACAGAGCCTGGAGCACAGCAGGAGCTTTATAAATTTCTGTAACAAGTGACTATTTGTCTAATGGATCATTCAGATCAAGATATTTTTAAAAACCTTTTAGATCCAAGTTTCAAAAAGGATAATTCTGGTCGAGGAATATACAACAATTAAATATATATGTACAAATTTTTGTTTAAACAATTTCTATTCTACTTACTGACATAAAAATACAGAAGACTAAACTGTTAAAAATGCCTATTATATGTCATGTACATTCTTGTAAATAATTTTCTCAGTGCTATTTCCTTCCTGTTATAAAACATTATCTTGATTAAACCAACAATTACAGCTATGTTAAGCTGTATGGTTAAACCACAAGCTTAAAACCGCATTCTAAATTAATTTATGAATGCCAATAAATTCAATCACTCATTCTAATACTAGTTAATTAATATTTCTTAGTTGCCTACAATAGCAATAAAAACTATTGTAAAAATAGCATAGCCACACTAGTCTTTACTTGCTAATAGGGCTTTAATAACAAATAACTGTAAAACATTGTAACTGAGGGAAGACACAGAAACAATGCTAAGAGTTTACTATTAAGTATTAATATAAGCACAGGGATATGAGAAGACCATGTGGGAGACACACCAGCTCAGTCTTGGAATGAGGGTGCCAGGGTGCCCACAAAGATTTCCTCCAGAAGTCACCTTCTAAAGAATAATCAGGAGTTAGGAAATGAGATTCTAAAGAGATACAGGTAGATGGAGCACCTGACAGGCTAGAAGACAAGAGACACAGTCAAGAAGCTAAAAGCCAAGCACTATGTCAATAACGGTGTTAGAACAAGGAAGAAGATGGTGTCAGATTGAGAAGGAGAGAGGAAGGAGCATCGTGAAGTAACTAGGATATCCCCAGACATCTCCAGACACACAGAGTCAGTCTTAAGAGCTTCTCAGCTTGGTAGATATATGGCCAGGATTGCATTTTACAAGTATCACTCTTGTCGAGATTGATAAGTGTAAGGAATGAGTCTGAAGAGTAAATTTTCAGGTAGGAAGATCAGTTAAGAAAGTCTCAATGTATTTAAAGAAGAACCAATGTAGAGTTGAACTAAAATAGAAGCAGTAAGGGTAGTGGGAAAGTGAAAAGTGAGAGTAAGAGTTAGAAGAAACAGAACATGGGCATTTATTGGATGTAGGAGGTGAAGAAGCAGGAATAAGGATGCCTTCAAAGTTTCTGTCTTACAGATGGGTGAGTTGAGTTGCTATGCACAGGGATTGCAGAGGAAAGGGCAAGTCTGAACAGTTTTCCTAGTAACTTCCAAGTTTAAGGTGCCTATGGCAAATTCCAGTGATTTGTAGATGTTTGGACAGTGGATATTTGGAGAGTAGATTTAAAACTAAAGAAAAAAATCTTGCCTGAAGAGATGGATCTCATCAGCAAGGAATGGAAGCCTGAGATGAGTTTATGAGCCAGGAATCCAACCATAACAAAATTTAACAATTTAGAGACTATAAGAGGAAAAGGAGCAAATTTGAGAACAAATAACGAAGGTG